AGAAACACTAATTTAAAATATCAAAAATTTTTTTTTTTTTTTTTTTTTTTTTTTTTTTTTACTGTATTTGGTGTCTTTTATGGTTTTCAGTATTTTACAATTTTTACTGAAAATGTTTGGAGTTTTATGTATTTTTGCTTTGCCGCAAAGGGAGAACTGAATTAACCGAATGATTAATTTATCTCTAATGAAATTCTAGAAAATATTTTGATATGATGTACTGCAAACAAAGCGTATTATTTAATAGGCCATACAAGTCATGTGGCGTTTCCACATCAGATTTTTTTTTTTTTTTAATTTTTTCATTTGGTGTGACGAAGAGTGATACTGATGAAATATTATGGGGTTATTACGTCTAACAACTCGAGACGCGCAATGCTAAAAGGAAATTTTTCGAGAAACCAGCTTCTATCCAGTATTGGTTTAAACGGGAAGGTTCTGACAGTCCCACTGGAAGCTGTATCCCACCTACGTACGCTGAACATTTTGCGACTCTGGCGAATTTGTTTTTCGGCGCATGCTCTATCTCAAATACATTTTCGCGAAAGAACTTGTTTTTTTGGCAAGTCAACCCTTAAATATCCTGAAAGCCAATATTGCAAGTCATCCCACATTCTTTGACAATTTGTTTCGAATTTTCCCTCTTTTTTTCAAAATAAAAAATTATTATTATGTCAAAAATATCCAGTAGGAGCTAACCAGCAACGCCGTCCAAAAACCAAAAACAAACAAACAAACAAAAAAAAAAAAAAAAAAAGCAATATCATTAGGGCAAAATTAGAAACTAAAAAATAAACAAAGCAGGAAACACCATCAAAAGCATTTGCGGCAGATATTCATTGGGGTCTGCAGTTGTTTGCTCAGTTTTAAAGACTAAAGAGAAATACTTATCTGAGGTTAAGAATGCGCAGTCTATGCAGTCTGTGCGATTACGAAAGAAAGATTACCCAAATGGAAGTTTTTACCTGCGTGGATTAGAGATCGACACAAAGATTAAATATTCCGTCATATATGGCATTACTTTTGCAGAAGCATTATCTATTTTTAAATGGTCTAAAGAAAAAAAAAAAAAAAAAATTGAAAGTAAAGTGTTTAAGATTTACTTCGTAATTTTTAATATAGATATTTTGAGTTTTTATGTTTTTTCGCCTTCTCGCGAAGTGAGAACTGAAATAATTAAATGAGAAATACTTAATCGTCTGTGAAAAACTGTTTCTTTTTTGTTTTGTTTGCTTAGTTTCTTTTTATACATCATTCTAGCTTTATTATAGTATTTGAATAGAACATGTGGCAACGATAAGATAATTTTATTCTTTAAATGATATAAATTTTGTGCATTATGAGTTATAATATGAATGAAATATATAAGTTAACTGTTATATAATTATTATATCATATAACAAGTTACTTACTTTCCGTTATATAATTATTATATAAGTTGACTGTTATATAATTATTAATACTGTTAAGTGAATCTAGCGCCAGAGTGTCGCTATGGTAAAGTGAATTTTAAAGAATGCATTTATTCTATTGTGGTTTATGCGCTGTCGGCGAAGTAGATTTAATTCAATCCAATAAGTTTAAATGAAAGGCAAGAAAAAATTAGTATAATTTAATATTCCGTACAAGGAAGTCATGTGGTGTACACATCAGATTTTTTCTTATTAATTTTCAACTGTAAAATATGTTCACTTATAAATGTGATATTAATAAAGCGATTATTTTTAGTTCAACTAATGACTGAAATTATTTGATATTTGATAATAATGAATAAAAGTTAATAGAATTTTTCTTCATCACAAACTGAAGAAACTCAGCGTTCAATCGTTTTTTTATTTCCTTGTACGAAGTAAAAAGGAAGTATTGTAATCGCGAAAAGTTTCAGGCAGCATATTTCAACGAAAATATCCATTTTGACCACTTTCAAATGCAATTTAACGATGTATTTCCGTGATATCTGTATGTAAGGACAGAATAAAACACTCTTTTCCTCCAAAAAAATTATAAAACTGCTTTAACATGAATTCTGAAGAGAATTTTTCTTGGCGTCTGTACGAACGTACGTACGTACGTGCGTATCTCGCATAACTCAAAAACGAGTAGCCTCAGAACGTTGGAATTTTGTATATAGGACTGCTATAACATGTAGATGTGCACCTCGTATTTTGGTTGCAATCGGCCACATCAAACGTATAGCAATGTATTTATATATATATCCACTCTGTTACCCGGCTCAGTGATCTCAGTTTCTTTACTCTTATATGTTTGTAAATTGTACATTTTTTGCTTTAAAAATGATTGAATTATGTTGTTTTTATCTTCCGGTTAAGGTTTTTATGCCTTTAGTAAATCTGTGTGCAATATTTTTAGAATTATCAACAATTTTAAAATTGTTTAAGTGCCGCTAAGCCTAATAATGTTTATTGGAGGCCATTGCTTTTGTTTACATTTGAAACAGCAGAATAGCGGATTTGCCAATCTAGAGAAACTTAGCTTCGCAACAACAAAGATAACGCCTTCATTTATTATTTAAAACATGCTTAATCCTTTTTGGAATTTTTTCGGGGAAATAAGAGTTTAAGATTTACTTCATAATTTGTAATACAGATGCTTTGATTTTTTATGTATTTTTGCCTTGTTCCGAAGTGAAAAATGAATGAATTGAATGAGAAATACTCAATCGTCTGTGAAAAACTGTTTCTTTAATTTCTTTTATATATCGTTCTAGCTTTGTTATAGTATTTGAATAGAACATGTGGCAACGATTAGATAATTCTTTAAATGATATAAATTTTGTGCATTCTGAGTTATAATATGAACGAAATATAATACTGTTAAGTAAACCTAGCGCCAGAGTGTCGCTATGGTAAAAAAAGTGAATTTTAAAGAATGCATTTATTCTATTGTGGTTTAAGCGCTGTCTGCGAAGTAGGTTTAATTCAATCTAATAAGTTTAAATGAAATGCAAGAAAAAATGCGTGTAATTTAATATTCCGTACAAGGAAGTCATGTGGTGTACATATCAGATTTTTTCCTATTAATTTTCAACTGTAAAAAATTTTCCTTTAAAAATGTGATACTGATAAAGCGATTATTCTTAGTTCAAAAACTAATTCAAAACTAATAGACTAACATTATTTGATTCTTGATAATAATGAATAAAAGTTAATAACATCTGTATCTTCGAATTTTTGAATAATATTTATGCCACGTTGTAAATTAGCTAGCTCTATTTTAGATTTTCTGATGCGTTATTCACGTTAGTTTTTAATGCTAAAGAAAATAATGCAAGCTCAAATAAACTCTGTAAATACTAATTCAAATCTTGAAATCTTCGTAACTGCATATTTGAAGCAAATTCATAATTGAAATTTGTTCGCGGGCCGTATAAAATTGCTTCGGGGTGCAGTCAGTGTTAAAACCCTGATTTTTTATATGGTTTTCTTTGTTTTTAGTCAAACAATTTTTGATTTATAAGCAGGTGAAATGTTCATTTTTTAATAAATGTTTCTGTCTATTTCTTTGACTTTTTCACCGAAACAGAAACTCCTTTTTTCGGAACCAGTTTCCTTAGCATTAAATCATTTCAACTGGAAAATAACTATCTCTTTACGAGTTCTCAATTTATATGAGATAAATCGGGCCCACGTATTTCATAAAGTCAGATATTAATTGCATATATCACATTTATGCAGCGAATAAAATAAATTATGCTTCTCTATAACCAAAAGCAAGTAATTATCCGGCTGAACGTATCCCGTCATCCGTCTACTAATACGAAAAATGGTTTACTAAAGAATGTAGGTGAAGAAAAATTGTTATTTGCTTCGAAAGTACAGTATCTGTGGAACCATTCAACGCTAGCAAATTTGAAAGAGTCGGAATTCTTGAATCTAGTGCATAAGAATTATTTTACCCAAGTGGTAAATGATACCGCTCTCAAGTCACGGACTCAGGATCTGTCCAAAAGCCAAGCGGCCTCTTTCGCTGCGCCTCTAATTTGACTCATAGATTTGCCACGAGCAAGCTTCCGCTTAAAAGCGAAAGCACTGAACAACTGCTAACCACAAATCACCACAGCACTGCGGTCGCCACAAAGACTTTAAACTCGCTCTTTTCGTAGAATATTTAATTTTATTGATGTTGCAGTAATATTTTATTCGTAGGTACAGGCAAATAAGCATTTCCTTTTAAGGTATTTTCTCCCTCCTTCCAGTCGTGGTATAACGGTAGCACACTCGGCGCATGTTCGAGAAGACCAAGATCGAGTTCCGGTGAGGATAACATTGCTCATTTTTCCCATTTCCTGTATCAAAAACTTTTATGACTCTACATCATTATTTAAAATGTAAGCCAGTCTAAGCCTGTTACAGCTTGTATTTTACTGAGCTTCGATTTCCATTAAAGTTTTGTTTATAACCTCAGGTTTTCATTCCTATCGTTAATGGTCATCATAAGAATATTTACACTACTAGTAAGCAATATTAATGTATATAATGATTTTGGAAGTCATGAATATTTCAGAAAAGCGTTCTAACATGATTAACATTTTCCATATTTCTGATTTAAACTAATTAAAGTAACAAACAGTATTAACATGTTTGATTTCCGAAAGGAAGTTAAGTCATGAATATTTCAACAAACGTTTCTCCATGAATATGGAATCTAATTAAGATTTATGAGACCGATCGATCAGCCTGTCACGGATTAACATTTTACATAGTTCATATTTTAAATAACTACAAGAGGATTGAATAACTTATAATAATAATTGTATTTTAGTCAAAACATTTATTTTTGGAATCTTTTGTTTTCAGAATTAGCATTTTCAGCATTTGTATCCATTTAACAACAATAACTTCTGCCCCCCCAAATAATGTAATGAATGATGGATTGTTTATTAATTATAAAGACATATGGAAAGCAAAACATTTTACGTTGAAAATAACAGTGTTAATTTGAGAGTTAGGACATTAAATTAGAATATGTGAAATACGTACTGTATGCGTATTGCTGCATTTTTGACACTTCTTTGTGTGGATATTGTAAGAAACCGCGAATTCTAAAAGAGTTGAGAAGACCATGATGATGCACATAAACAGCCATATATCCATAGCTTTGATATAACTCACTGGTGGCAGCTGGGCCTTGTACTGTTGGACCTACGTTAGAAATATTGAGAAGTCAAAAAAGAAAACTACTTCTAAATCTAAAAACATTATTTAGCAGCTGTTGCGCGATGCAAGGCTACAGTAAGGGCATTTATAACCATTGCTTGTTTTTTGTACAGCGTAGTAAGCTTGTATATTTAAGTTTTAGTTTTAAAAAATACGTTTCCTAGGATTTATGTTTCCCCATTTTCTGGAATATTTCAAATTGTTCTGTAAGCATACGAGTAGAATAGGTTTTGAGGCCTTAGTATAAACATTTAATGCTGATTTCTGGGGTGTTTGAAATCGTGATGCGCACGATAAAGATTACAATATAAAGGGTGTTTCACAAGGTCTGAAAAACGATGAAATTGAGTAACATTTAAAAGGAAAAAGATTTTTACTTAACATTTTTTAGGATTTACTCATGAAAACAAATTAAAAATCAAATATAAGTTTCTCAAAATGTTTGCCATTTGAAGAAACTACTTAATGAAGTCTCAGTTTGAAGTTCTGAATAACCCGACTGAGTTGGACTATTGAAATAAATCTTATCCTACCTGTTATCGGTGTTTCAGCTTTTCTGTAGCTTTTAGTTGATCTCTGTAGACTTTGCATTTTATGAGCCCATAATGAGAAGTCCAAAGGAGGCAAGTCAGGGCCATAATGGAGTTAAGCAAGTGCTCGGCTAAAAAGATTCGTGTAACCTTTGCGCTGATGTGGTTTTCATAGTGAATTATCAGCACGTCTAGGACATCGCTTGCTGGAGACGGAAGAGGTTCGTGTTGGCGAAGCCGTGTATATTGGATCCAGTGTTTCTTAGTAGTCATCAGGAATGAACCTTGTTCTCAAAAACTTAATATAACGTTCTGAATTTAGCGTACAAAAATACAGGCCACTTCTTGAAACCTTCTACATGGCTCTATTATCAACCTCAGCAACAGCTCTGACTAAACAAACATGGTATTAGACTGAATATTAGTCCAAAAATTTTCTGGGGGGGGACAGAAACTATAAATACGTTTCCTTTGGACCCTGAAAATCTGGGCAAAAATTGGCGATACTAGCTCAGCTCATTGATGGGTTATTCAGATAACAGATTATTAAGAACATCCTTTAAACACCCTATATATTGACCTCCATGAAAATATCTAGAGCTGTCTTAACACCTCATGGATTAGCCTAATCTTTAAAGTAAATGGGTAAACCATAAATAAAGCTTTCATATCAAAAGAGCACTTTCCATATATAGTGACACTACTGTCTTCAAGAAAGTCTAACAAATATAAACGTTCTTGAGGTATAATGTGCATATTTTTTTTCAAATCCAAATTTTTTTTAAATCCGATTTCTTAAATTTAAGACCCTCGAAACTTTACAACCCCGAATCTTTCTAAACTTTATAATATACTCTATAACAACAAAAATCTACCCACCAAGAAGGAATCATTCGATTACTTTGAAATTTCGTATGCAAAAATGTTTTGACCAAATATGTAAATAATTAAAATTTGGTGTCCAGTGAATGAATAGTGCGATCTCCAGCGCATCGGAACTGCGAATCCAGCAGATGTATAGAAGGAGCTGTTCTTGAACTGATGGTTAAGAATGTTTGTTGCACTGCGATTTAGGATACCTTTCAACGACTGAAAAAATGCCTCGCCGCAGAATTCGAGATCATTACGAGCAACTGTCAGAGTTTGAAAGAGGTCGCATCATTAGATTGAAAGAGGCAAGTGGGCAAATCGGAGAATCGCTTGTCATATGAGTCAAAGCAATACGGCGATAAGAAGATGCTGGCAACAATGGGTGGACAATTTTCCTTGATAACTGGATCTCTTTGGTCGTCATAGGTACACTTACAGCACAGCGGTACGTTTACGACATTCTGAGACCTGTTTTGCTACCGTTTCTTTTGCAGTATCCTGGCCTTATTTTTCAGCAAGATAATGGCAGACCACATACGGCACGTGTTGCTATGAACTATCTTACAGCTTCTCAAACACTTCCTTGGCCAGCCAGATCGTCAGATCTCTCTGCCATCGAGCATGTTTGGGATATGATGGGAAGGCGACTGCATCTACGAGAGAATGTTGATGACCTATCCTGACAATTGGAGCAAATTCGGCAAGAAATACTACAGGAGACCATCCGGGAGCTTTATCAGTCTATGCCACGCCGTGTGGCAGCTTGGATCAAGGCTAAAGATGGGCCAACATTTATTGAGCTCATTACTTTGTAACTATATAAATCGGAAATAAATTATTCAGTTGTTCTGAAATTTAAAACATTTTCTATTCTGTACACAATCTTCCTATCCACCAATTTTTGTCTTCATCGGACAATTCATTCTTGGTGTGTAGATTTTTTTTTGTTTGTTATAGAGTGTATTATTATAAACTTTTATTTCACGTTAAAAGCTTTTAAATAAGGTACAATTCGAAAACTAATTCTAATGAAAAACATATTTAAGAATGCAGTTTTTAGAAATACATATATATTAATTAAGAAAATGCAAATGAAATTTAGTGTATGAAATACATATTTCAATTCTTGAATAATGAGGTTAATTTTTTTAATGTAATTTGTTGAGAAATATTTCAGTAATAGTTCAGACTTTTTGATAATATTTTTCCAGAATCCTTTTAAATGAAAAGAACTAAAGGGAAAGAATTATTTCCAAACTCTAAAGGGGAAGAATTATATTAGAATAATTTTTCAAACGTGAAATGCAAAATTTTCTTCTGAAAATTTACAGTATGTATAACACAGGCACGTGGAATAATAATAATACTATAATTATTCTAAAAAACAAACCTGAGTGCAGAGAGTAAGAAGAGATGTAATGCTTAACGCCACTCTTGCCGGAACTGCGTCAACTTTCAGCCAGAAACTGACCCAACTCATGGTCACGATCATCGTTGATGGGGCATACGTGTTCATGATGCTGCCCGTTAGAAGTCGCACCAGAGTAAATTCCGCGATCAAAGTCGTGTAGTTACCTATTGACAAAAGAAGCTTTAATAAATATCTGCTATATTTCCACTTAGGAAAATCAGCACTGCATGAAGCATTATTTGATGGTGTTTTTAATCGTAACATGAAAAGTAACCAACAAACATATCGAATTTAATTTTGATAGGAATGTTAAAATATTCAATACACATGAATTTTAATTTCGAAATTAATATAATTGGACAGGTAAAAAAATTAGGTATTCTTAGGTAGGGTGTTGGCTGGAGTATTTATGTGTACAAAATAATTATTCTTGTATATCATAAATTGTGAATGAATTCAGAGGCGTAGCTTGTTGAAATTCAGTAGGATGAATCGGAGTTTATTTCTATATTTAGAGAAACATCTGTAGAGATATTAGGATTTTTTGAAAGCATACATGAAAAATTAAGTTTGCCATTGTCAAGATTCAAACCACGGGTCTTTCACTTTACAGCTGTAAAAGCTACTACTTACATCACGAGAGTCCGCACGGGGTAATGAGATAATTCCTTATGTTCTTCCCTACTTAAAAATAATGAGTGGGAAGAGGTACGAAACCTAGTCCTCAAATCCAGATGGGGACGATCACGTTTTCATTCGACAGTCTAGACATTAATTTAGTCGAGACAGTCAAAGACATTTAACTTTTTCCCAAGCCAGAAAGACGAAAAACCAATTATACCCTTGCATGGATTCGCAAGATGGATCTCTCCCTTGCTAGCTGGAAATGCAACAAATTCAGCATAAGGACTTTTAAGCGGGAATGCGATTTTCAACACATTTCCTCAGCTGACTAAAATTTATTGTAATATTAATTTTAAAATTTCTTGTGGTTGAGAGAGAAAACATATTATCTTTAAATCCTTATTTAAAAATAAGGCAGTATTAAATGCTGTTTAATGCTTACACCTTTTCCTTTTTCGATAAGACATATTCTGTCTGTTAAGGATGTCTCTCCTTTAGAATTTTATAACCGTTCGCACATTACAAACCTAGTTTTTCCTGTTTCACTTTTATTCATAGCCTGTCTCCTAAGTTTGATCTTTTCAATTCCGATGTGAAGTAAACATTATGAGGATTTTCCAGCTCTTTTGAAACGGGAAACCACTAATTTTTACTAAATTGGAAGCTCCGTATCGATTATTAAGAAGCTTTGCTTGTGTCTTGTAAAGAAATTTGAATTACTTCATTCCATTTGATTCCATTATGCTCACCATGTCTCGCAACAGTGGATGAGTGGTTTAACAACCGAATACAAGCAGTTTAGCCCTGTTTTGAAATTTATAGAAAGAAAAGGATGCATGATTAGGTTTTGCGGTTTTCCTGATGTGTAACGTGAAAATAAGCCCTTTTTCCTCAGACACTCCTCTATGAACCCATCCCTCCTGTAAACATATAGTCTGGTGTACTTTGCCATGTTCAACTAACCTAATCTAACCCTTTTGCTTATCAAAATGTAGTTGCTACGGAATCAGACTAAAGAAAAGTTATTGTGTAAACAAAAAAATAAAAATTGAACTTATAAATCAATATTAGTTGGACGAGAAGTACATTTTTGTTGGTAGAAAAATTACTGCTATCCCATACTCCTCGCATTTCACTGAAACGCAACAACAAAATGCTACAAAATGTCTAAAAAAGATTGACTTCCACAAAGTAGAATAAGCTGTAATTGTTTCACAACTGAGACCCATAAAAACACCCTGCAAAACTTCCTAATAGAGAAAAATAAATTTTAGAGGCAGTTGGTGGTTGTTGTCACAGATTCGTGCTTCTTGCCAGTTTATCATTAACATGCAAGACACAAAACAATACTTATGCCTTACAAAATGTCTGTAATACTTTTAGCAAAAACTGATTATACTTCAGTGATATGTGATAAATTTAGGAAGAAAGATGTTATTACATTAGCATTTTCAGTTAGACTGAAATTGCTAATATAATTATGATTTGTCTCGATATGCCCAAAACTACAGCTAATGGTATAGGTAATAAAAAAATTAACATTGTAAGTACAGATTACGACTGGATAATTGAAAATTGCATTTACACATAATTTTTAGCCCAGAAATTTTACAGAAGAACGAAATTTACACCGCAAATGATATTGTGTGCGTAGACACATACATACGCAGTCAGAGAAAGAAAGATAGACAAATAAAAAAGAAAAATAAGAAAGAAAAATTAGAAAGACAAATAAAAGAGAACTGGATCATAATGAAACTTAAAGGAAGGCTTGCTAAATGTTGTGTTTGAATGGACTGCTTGAATGTCTCCATAGCACAGGTGGCATTTCGTGGACATTTGTCTAGAAGATTAAAAATAAAATGATGTAAAAATGTGGCGACATAATTGTGACTACAGATGACATAAAAAGTAAACGAAGCAATTCGATATTACACCAGAAACTGTTTATAAATTAATCCAGAAAATAACATAAATCTTGGCTTTTGATTCACAGTCCTCCACTAACACCTTTAAAAAAATAATTAAAGTACTAGAATCAAAATTGGGTGACTGTGTTTTATTGAATTTTGAAGTAAATGCCAGAAAAATTAGTAGAATATTTTTTAGAAACATGTTGCATTACCAACACTCTGGATATCATAGAAAACTATATACATTATAGAATAATTAAGACAGTTCAAAAGAATCAGAAAAGCAGGATCATCTTAGGAAAGAAGCATCTTAGGAAAATGACAAACTAACCTCATTTAATCAATAGTAAAAAGTGGTCTTGAATACTTAAAAATTAATGGTTTATATTGTGCTCTACCTTCTTTCTGCTGTTGTTTCTAATTCTTTTGATCTTAGCCTACAGACAAATTAGACCGACGAATTTTATTATGATCAAGAAGCAAGGACTGCGTTTGAAGAGAACTTTAGGCTCTTCAGGCTTTTACATGCTCCCATACCAGTTAAATATTATACAGTTCCAAACATTCATGCCTGCTCAGAGATACGAATTTGGAACCAAAGCTATGCCAGCTGGCCCTACCAGTATGCCAACAGTGGAACCTTTCAGATATGTGCGAGTGTTTTCAACAGGTTGGTGAAGACAGGTCACGCTTCCATAACTAAATAGTAGATACTTTTATAATTAAAAATTCTGAGAAGAATTTTAACTATACTTACACGCTACGACTTTTTTTAAAGAATTAAAACAGTGATGAAATTTTCAGGAATTGTGAATACCTACCATAAGCATGAAACCTACCGTCAGCAAATTCTTCTGTGACAGAATATGTCGTAGGCGTATTAAGGGAAAATTGTAGAGGATGAACCTCTCTCATCATCGTGATAGAATCCTTTTTATAGGGACTGATGCTGTCTCCTATCCATCTCAGAACAGCAACTGAATCAGATGATGACACTGGAAATTTAGTACAGAATAGATAAATAATTAGCTGATAAAAGTTTTGGTCTTTCCTTACTTCTATTAATTATTCATACAATGCGTCTAGAAAAATACTTTTGTTGCGTTTATTTTCTCAACCATTTATCGTAGAATTATAATACCAGTTAAAAAAAAAAAAAAAAAAAAAAAAACTTTAAATAAGGAAAATGGTCATGAAGGGGTTTTTGTTTTGTTTAAAAAAGCAAAGTTATAAAAATTACGAAATCTAACTTTTTATAAGGTCTCCCTGTCCTTATAGTTAATTATATTTAGTAAAAGTTTATAACTATTCGAACACTCATTCGTAATTAAAAATGAAATGTGAATTCAGAAAAAGTTTCCTGAAGTTAATTGATTAAGTGAAAAGCATTTCGCAGACTGTCGGAAAACATTATTGATCAATATAATGCTTTTCAAAAAGAAGATCTAGTCAAAAAATCTTACATAATTGGGTTTCAAGAAAAGGGTAACAGACTTCAATATTGGTACATAGCCAATTAGTAACATTATGAGCATAAATTTAAAAATGAACAGCGTTTCTCATTCAATGAATTTTTTTTTCAGCTCACCTGGATACGAGTGTCCGCATAGCTCAAAAGAATAGACGTGAAAACTGAGCAGCAGAAGAACACAAAGTTTCAACTGAAATTAAAAAAGCAACCACAGAAACCTGGAATCGTATCTAGCAGGCGTATGGTAAACAGTCGTTACCAAAGCTATGAGGGTTTGAGTAGCATAAGAGTTTGTAAACGGCAGGGAATTGGTTTGTGCGGCCGACAACCTATACTGATGATAATGTGGAATGAATAAGAAACGAGGTATTAATAAGACAGCATGCTATGAGATTTTACAGCTTATGTTGTCAAAAAGGAAACTAAACTGAAGCACTGTGCCTCACTCGCAACCGAAGGAAAACCGTGCATCAGTGTATTCGCAGCTTTTGAAAAAAGCTGAAAGTGATACCATGTATGTTAGGCATACCACTATGGAAAATGGTGTATAATGTTATAGGATTTAATTAACGAACCAAGCGACAAAACGGTGAATGGCGAGGTTTTGAATCTGCATCATAAATAAAGAAGATTAAGCAGCAGTCATCAAAAGATGAATATATGTTTGAAGGTAAAATAATAAGCAATGCGCTTTCAATGTGAGGGCTTTGAAATCTTCGCGAAAAGCAGTTAAGCGAAAACTACCTGATTAGTGAGCATCAGGACTATTGTTTTTCTTGAAAGGCAAAGCCCGCGACGGACTGCTCTGTCTTTCCATGAATTTGCGAGAAAGCACAAAGTTACAGTCATTCCCCCCTTCCATAGTGCTAATATGTCTTCGTATGATACAATACTCTTTCTAAGCTTGAGAATGACTTTGAAGGGGACATAACACAGAGGCGTTCCAACTATCCAAACCAATCACATGAGTTGAGACACCCAAAATCCGAGAAGGGACTTCCTCTGCATGCTACCAGCTCGCTCGGAAACACTTGCATATTTATTCCAGTTCCAGAGGAGATTACTTTGAAGATACTCAGCACACATATTGTTGAGCATTTTGAGTTACGCTTTTTGTGTTTTAATTTTTACACTGCTCGACATTGAAAATGCAACACCAAGAAGGAGTGGTCAGAAATTTATGCAAACTTTAGAGGAGACGCACGTCACTGAGTTATGCGAATGAGTGAAATGCCAGCTCTCCCACGCATGTGAAGTACAATAATAGGGAAGGAACGTGCAGAATGGGCAATATCCGTGTCGTTATTTCTGCCAGACAAATTATCGAAGAAAGTTGGTTTTTGTACCAGGAGGATGCGTGTAATAGGAGACAATGCCAGGCCGCCGTCAACGAAGGCACTTCCAGCGGATAGATGATTTTACGAGGGGTATGGTGATCGGACTGAGAAGGGCGGGTTGGTCCTTACGTCAAATCACTGCTGATAACCACATAAATGCGAGCACGATGCATCGGCTATGGCGAATATGGTTGGAACAAGGAAATGTGGGAAGAAGAAGGGGTGCAGGTGCAGCCAGAGTGACGACGGCACGCGTGGATCGACGTATCCGCCGACAAGCTGTGGCGGTCCCGCAAGTCACTTGTACCGCGATTCTGCAGCATGTGCAAGATACCCTGGATACTCCCGTGTTGACCAGAACCATTTCCCGTCGATTGGTTGAATTTGACCTGCACTCAAGGCATCCGTTAAGAAGACTGCCATTGACCCCACAGCATAGACGCCAACGTTTAGAATGGTGCCGGACTGGAGCGATGTGGATGACATAATGGCGAAACGTCGTGTTCTCAGATGAGTCACGCTTCTGTTTATCCAAGTGACAGTCGCCGTACGTGTGTGGCGTCGACGTGGAGACAGATCTGATCCGGCAGTAACTGTGGAACGCCCCACCGCGCGATAACATAGCATAATAATTTGGGGAGCTAGTGCCTACGATTCCAGGTCGCCTCTAGTTCGTATTCAGAGCACTATGACGGCCGAACGATACTTGGATAATGCACTGCGGCCGGGGGCAATCCCCTACGTTCAGGGAATACGTAATGCAATTTTTCTGCAGGATAACGCTCGACTACACAGGGCTCGCATCTGCCAACATACTCTGCAAGGTATACAGATGCTTCCCTGGCTACCGTACACTCCTGACCTGTCACCAATCGAACATGAGTGGGATGTGATTGGACGCTGTTTGCAGAATGAAAGGGAATGGAGAGCCATCCCTCAGGACACCATCCGCACTCTTATTGACTCTATGCCTAGACTTGTTTCTTCGTGCACCGCTGTCCGCGGTGGTACTGAGATGAGGCCGTTCTCTCTCTGTTTTCTGACTATCATTTTGAAATAAAGATCACGTATTGCTGCTTGCTGTCTCTGTCTTTTTTCCAAATTTCATCACTTTCTGATCACTCCTTCTTGGTATTGCATTTTCAATCTCGAGCAGCGTATATCTAGTATAAAATTTTCTGAATGTAAATATAGGGACTGGGAGTTCGTGTGGAAAGTTAGATTTCGTAATTTTTACAAAATATTTTTAAATTTCAAAATGGCAAACTGAAAATTTCCATCGTTTACTTAGACCAATGGCTGCGAAAATAAAGGCTGAGGCTTTTTGTGGACATGATGAATAATGGAATATTTATATAACATATAAATAGTGTAAAATTTAACTGGAAAATTTATGTACAAGAAGATTTCATCGACATTAAATGGATAATAATAAAGCGTATCATACGTTGCATTGTATTCGTAGGAATTAATTTTCTCATTTTTGAAATAAAGGTAAAGTTTTTGATGTTTAGTCTAATCCTTTAGAAATGAGCAAAGTAACGAGAAGTATTGTTATTTTAAGAAAAGAATAGATTATTAAAAGATGACAGACCAATAAAAGTCATGGTTTCCCATCAAGCTAAGTATTGCACAAATGCTGAAACACTGGTTCTAAATGCACATGCATATTTGTGCTGAAAGTCGGTTTTGCCTCGGGAAGAAAATATGGCTCGTAATTTGGTTGCTGAATTTCACCAAGTCTTTTCTCGCCTATCAGTTATAATACCTACCGAGTATTATAACTCATATCTCTAACGCGTTCTCCCCCCAAAAAAAAGAACTGGTTCGTAAGAAACTGAGGGCAGTTGAAACTACGGATAATGGATCAGCGGACACGGTCCTACAAATTTATTTGAGTTAAAAATCAGCACCTAATAATTAAATAAAATGTTTTAAAAATTGCATTCAGCTTGATAATTTTAACATATCTTAATACTTTTCTAGAATTTGGAAACCTTTCAAAAATTATTTATGTACGAATTTTTGCAGAGAACAAAGAATTACTAAAAATAAATTAATTAATTAAAACGCTCTTTTACTTACTCAAAGAAACCAGAAAGGAACACTTTTGAGTATCAAATGGATAGTTCTGTAAATCCATATTGCAAGCTGCTGTGAAGGAGTACCTAACAAATAAATAAAGCTCTCACTGTAGATCGAAGCTTTGGAAAATTTTCTAAAGTAATGCGAAATATGTACATTTATATGTAATAAAAATTATTTTTATATCACTAATAAATTGAATTTTTTATTTTATTTTTGAATATATTTTGAATTATGAAACACGACAAGATTGTTCGACAAAACAGTTCCGTGTCTCGATGGAACTTAAAATTTAAAATTTCAAATCACTAAATTTAAAGTCCTCTTACTTTTATTTCAGCTAGCAATTCATCAAATTATCAGAAAAACGTATAATTGAAAATATTTTGGTTTTTATTTAATTTCGTTGATATTAATATATAATATTATATACATCTCGAATAAAGGTAAAGAAAGATATTTGTTTATGGGTTAAAATTGCACCAGAGGCAAGAAATGGGTAGTCTTACACAAAGAATTTTACGCAGATATGATTACTAATTTTGTTTATTAATAATCTTATATAGTATAGTATATTTCAAAATAGTCTGGAATACGCAGTATTACAAGGCATTATTTTCGTTTCCATATAGTTTCACAGCATTTTTTATCTTTAGCACATATACTCTATACTTTCTTTATGGACTTCTTTAAGAAACTTTTTGTGAGGGAAAAATATTTCTTGGAAAATAGTCCCATTGCTTTACTTGTAAACAATGAGTGCTGGTCCCAAGCTTTAAATATGTATTTCCGGATGAAATGGATTCTGTATGGATAACTTTTGAAACTGTACTTTGATAAACATTCTCAGTCGGTACGCCGTGCACGTCATTTTGATTTTCGTGCAACTGCTTATCAGCATGTACAACAGGATGGAGCGAAAAATCACTTATTGAAAGTCATATTGCTTGAGTTATTAAATGGTTCGAAATCGGCTAGAACAAATTGTATTCAAAGTTGAGCCCAAAATATTGACATCTTGAGGTTTCACAGCTCAAGTGAATATCTGTACTGACTTTTTTAACGGTTTTATGCTTTTTTCGTGAATCGCTTGGTCAAAAACGCCATTATTAGCGCGAGAAATTTCTTCCCACACCGATATAAAATGTAATGCCAAAGTATGCCACTAGATGCAGAACAGATTCGAATCTGACTATTGGTTCTAGCTTAGGGTAAGCAATCACGGGCTTCCATGATCTTGAAACGAAATTTTATTGTTAATTAGTTGGTTGTTCGGTGTGTTTTCTCAATACTGGTTTCTCAGTCATTGTTTATGTTGGACTAAGATGGCATCAACTATAAGGGGATCTTTTTGAGATTTTTGTTGGTCATAAATTGAATTGGTTTATATGTTTGCTGTACTCTAGTGAGGTGTTTCTTTGTCGTCATTTCCAAAAAAATTGATGCAAATAACACCTGAGCCACAACAGTTTTCTGGAACTATAGGAAAATCCGCTAAAACATGTGAAATCCTTCCCGTGACAGGTTATGTTCTTATTCCAGTTGATCTATTCGAAAAATTGACAAAAGAGCTCAGTACTGGCCGAAAATACCTCCTTTATATTTCTAAGGAAGTATCATAGGGGTCTTTCTTCAGACCTACCAAACAGGAGTCCTGGGAAGATGGTCCACTCAAGACGTCTGTCTACAGCCAACAGAATTCTTCGCCTTTATGTATCAACCACCGAACCAACAGACGACATGAGGCTACTAACCGATTATGCTATAAAATTTGATGTGCCAGCCTAGTTTGGAATAAAGAAATTCCAGAAGCAACACATGGAGCACGTAACATTCACGAAATGATCAAGAAAAGTTAATTCTTGCCAGAAAATTTTAAGGCAATCGTTCACAAAGTTTCTTCAGAGAATTGTTACTTTGCTCACTCTGAGAACATCCTGTTGGCGATACTAGAAGATGAACGAGCACATATTCATTAACTTGGCCTGAGAAGAATACTGAAAGCAAGAAAGGAAAATGCTGGAAGGGGAAAATACGGCAAGCTGTGCGTCCCAAATTAAATTCCAATGCAGGAGAGTATTTTAAGATGATTCGCTAGAACAATCCCTTAAAACCACCGGCTACCTTGAACCTCAGCGACGAAGACCTAAGATTGATTAGAAGCGATTATCAGTTTGAAATAGGAAAGTTCCTTTGCCATTCTCAAATAAAAGAGAGGCATATGAGATTAGTGACAGAAGCGTCATTGGCAACGTGTTGTTCAGAAGCCAGGGATAGATTAATGCGTAATGAATCATATTCCGGAACGAATTTACGAAGCTCGACACCAAGTTGAATTTCTTTGGTTCTCGGGTGGAACCTGAAAATGACGAGTGATTAAGCTTAGACTTCTTTACTAACATTGCTTTACCAAGTACAATTATAAGTTGAGTTAATAAACAATTAAATCATTAAAAACATTGTTAAAAATAATTTGATGTCTTCATTAATGTTAACATTGATTTTTTTATTTACCTCATGTGGCACCTGAAGATGACGAGCTGCAATTTTTTTAATGTGTCTTTTTCATTGAACAGAAAAATTTGGTGGCTCAGGAAATAATAAAATTTGAAAAATGAATTTTAATATTTTTCACTCCATCCGAACGTACAGTAGCTCGTTAGCGGCCTTTACAAAGAAAAGGTCTCGTTGCGTATGGAACGTCTTGCTAGCGGAAATGGTTAATGTGTTATTGATTTTAGTTTTGTTTGCTTATTTTCCGAATATAGCAAAGCATATGAGGGTTATCTGTCTAAAAGAAGGGTTGCCTTTATGAAGGTAAATTCTAGGAGAAACTGGTTTTTATTTACGTTCCACAAAAAGAAGCCACAGAAAACACACATGCAGACTTTTCCTTTACCAGGATCTGAACCCAAGTTGAATTACTGATTTTCAGCGGTCTTAACCACTCGGCCACTGGGAGGGGGGCGTTATTGATTTCAGTGCATTTATAGATTATGAAGCAAAATCACCTAGTAGATATGACTAGGGCTCCATCTGGGAAAACTTTGACTGCTGTGCTTGGCGACGTAGGTTCGAAAGTTTCGACGCGTTTAGCCGTCTCGAAGAAAATGTCCGGTGTCCACATGTACATACGACAGGGCTCATACACTACGGTAGCATTAAGTTTTCCTTTATACGAGTCCAGTTTCAGTCGCGTATCGTTCCATGTGCTGGTGATGAAGACGTGCAGGTGAAAATCCTGAAATAAAAATAACACTTCTTATTAGAGGTAAGCATAATATTGATACAAAATATTATGCCATGTTTATCCACTACCAGAGCTTAGACATTTTACTGCTGGCCTCCTGGTGGGCTACAAGACATCAAAATGATCACACATTTGAAATCAGATTAAGCACATTTGATACCTTTGGCTTTATATCAAAAGTTGAAAGAATGATTTAAAAATGAGTTTTATGTCTTAAGTGAGTTAAAATAACGTTTTGAGGATTTCGTATTTCTGAAAAGGCTTACAATATTATATTTCCAGAAAGAAATAAGAGAATTATGTTTTATAATATAGAAGTTCATGTTTATGAGTGCGTTTAATACCGTTCTGTTAAACAAATATTCATATTATAAAAGCATGTACAAACAGCTTATTTGACAGCATGACTCTAAAACCAATCTTCTCAGTGATGAAGCTGGTCAATGATGAAATGGATTCGGCCATTCCTGACGAATATTAATGAGCAAATGTCATGCATTCGAGAAAAAGTATTAAATGTGATATTTTATCGTAAAACGACAGAAAGCAAGGAAATGTGGATAATTAAAGAGATATGAGCAAAGGTTTATATCATTCACTATCAAGCCATTCTCCATGAAGGGACTTAAAAATTAGCCATTAAATGAGCGCGAAAAGTGAATGAAGGTAGAGTAGAATTAACAGCTCATTTGATAGTATGACGACAAAAATATACGTATATTTTTGAGTAGCTAAACGCAGTATGTATTTTCCTTTCAAATCACACACGTATCGTTTTGGAGTCCTATTGTCTGAGGAGGATGGTAAATGTAAGACACTGGCATGCTTAGATAAGCTGTTAGATTATAATAGCAAAGAAGCTAAGCCCGAATTTAATATCGCGTTTGTGGTGTCTGTATTAGTTTTTCTAAACTAATGTCAATATGGCCGAAGAAGAAAGCAATATAATTGATGTTTTCTAAAGGGAAAAAATAAATTTTATTATTGTTTTTATTAAAATGTCTTTTAAACAGTATACTGTGTATTATTCATTTGAAACATCTGGTAGAAATCACTTTTTTGCGACATTCATGCATTAATGGAAAGAAAAGAACCTCATATTTATAAGTTCCCTGAATTTGCAAAGATGGGCGCTAGCTCTGTCTAGATTTCAGGTGATCGTTATAAATAAACTTGGAGCAAAAAACTTAAATGCAGATTCTTTGTCTAGTATCTTACACGAGTGTACGATTCGCAAATAAAAAAAAATGTATTGTGAAATTTGATGTTCATTGCTGAAGTGCCACAGAATTATTTTGGCATTATAACTCCTTTTATTGTAACTCTATGAATGGTAATTTTTATTTTATTTTATTTATTTATTTTGTGCGTGTTTTTCTGACTCTCAGTATGAAACCCGTTTAGGCTCTCTTGGCTTACAATTTTTTTTTTTTTGGTTGTGCCTAAGTGGAGAGGGATTTCCTTGCAGCTCCCATTAAAAGGTGGCTTAAACACAAGAGTCGATAATGTAAACCAAAGGACAGTGGGCAGATGTAAAGCTCCCATTAAATTGTTTCTAATAAAACACCTTTCGGAGACATCTTTTTCCTTTGTGACTGAAGAAGGTCTTAAGGAGGAAATCACACGAGGAACTAGGAAATGGAACGAAGGATTAGGCAAACATGCTGCGTGTATGAAGACGTAGTCGGACAAAATGATATTGCGCTTATGTATAAGAAATTTTACGGTGATTTTTTTTCCTTTTGGAGTGAATAACGCTGTAAATATACATTAAACTGGTGTGGGAAATTTTCCATCGAAAACATCCAACTCGTGAAGGCGAGTCATACCACCGTAACTGGTAAACGGTCTAATGATAATTTTGTATGTCTGGCATTTACTTGCGTATCCCCCCTTTCTCACTAATTTTTTTTGCAAGGAAATAGAGAGGGGAAAATTATATGAATAACTTCCGAAGAACGCAATTAGAGTAAGAATAAAACAAATGAAAAATATTCACGACTAAACTATCGGTAACTATCACAATATTACTTATTTAAAAGAATACACTGAAATAAGAATACATAGTAATATTAACATTACATTATCTAACATGATACCTTCATTTCTACTTTTCTGTATCTTGAATCTCGTCCGCTCTTATTGCCATCAAATACGCGTAGGCTTCAGATTATTTAATGTCACTGGAAGGGTTGCCTTTGTCGGTTACAACCGAAAACATCGCGGCCAAAACATTGTGGACGAAAACGTCGTGTTCCAAAACATCGCAAAGAGAAAACATCGCAGTTCTAAAATCCAAAAATCGTTCTCCGAATGAGAACAAACAGGCTAAAACTGTAATTATATTCCGTAATGATTTGAGCGCAAGATGGAACGAATGATAATTTTGACCAAATTTTTTTAGAAATAAAGAAAAATAAAGAGGAACAATAAGCATAGAAAAAATCAAATATTTTTAATAAATTTTTTTACTATAACATAAAAAGTATACAAAAAAATTTTCTATTCAGTTTCCTTCTTGATCAGCAAAACACTTAGTTAATAAAAATGTGAAAGTAAATATTACTTTTTACATTTGCGCTCACAAAAATGGGATCCATTTAATATGAAAAAAAAAGCATGTCCCGTTGTCATCGGAGTAGATACTTATTTTTTCCACATTCCGACCATCCATTTACTGAGAAGTTTTTGAACCGTAATTTTCCGTGATGTTTTGTACCCGATGTTTTTCAGAACTGCCGAGTTCTCTGCTGCAAACCACAGGTGAGGGCACTGGTCGCCTGCGTGCACACCCAGACTTTTCGCCGCGATGGTTGGCCGCGATGTTATCGGCGGACACCGTTTTTGTCGTCTGCTACAGCTTGGAAATCGTCGACTTAACTGTTGTTATCGTTTTTGTCACCGTTCAGTCTGTCTTCCCACGTGCAGTTATCTTCAGCATCATCAAGAACACCGGATATCTTGGATTTATTGAAACTCTTTACTATTATTTCTTCAGTCATCAGGGCCTATTCACCCAAATCCCACGAGCTAATCAATTAGACAGAAACTATCATTACGCAGACGAATCCCTTTGAAAAGTTTAGGTAAGCTCGCTTTTTGAACATTTTGAGGAAGCGGAAAATTACGTGCATGGTTAAAAAGTTTTCACGACCTTGTGCCAAAAGTCTGTGTAGTGCGGGAGGGGGGATACGTGAGTAAATACAGTATTAATCGATTTCCGGTATCAACGATTATTCCCTTCCATGATGAAAAATTTACTGAAATGTTTAAAATGTTTTAATTCTAATAAATTGCTTAATAAACCAGGTATTGAAATTTTTTAATTGTACCGTTATAAGAACTGCCCACTCTCAATGGAAGCATCCGATTAGAGTCTTCTGGGTTTCTCGTTTGCTTAACTAAAATCCAAACTTTTTAGTCTCTGCTCTCAGAGCTGTATTTAGGTGACATTTTGCATTTTAATGTAAAGCGCTGCAGTTAACTTGCAAGAAGTTTACTTGAGGACATTTTGCTGAAAAACAGCGCAATAAAAATATTCTATTTGTAGAATAGAGCTTTCTTCCAAAATAGTGGTGTAGCTATTGCGGAGGGGCGGTCCCTGAGTTTGTCGTTGGGGCAATATTTGAATTTGTTACCCCTCTTCGTAAAAAAAAAAAAGAAAAAGAAACTCAAAAATAAATAACTCAAAAAAAGTGTCAGAATGACATATAGGGAAATAAATTATAGAACTTTACGTTTACTTTTGAAGAAAAATTTTAATTCAAACATTTTAAAATTATATTATAAATTCGCCTTTTTTCCCGTTTTCCTTTTTTGGTTGCAAAACCATCGATGACAATTCAGAGGTCTACTTGACTTTTCCAGCTGCTCTCATGTAGAACGTATGGAAAGCTATCTTAAATGCAAAATAAGCATTTATAGTTCTTAAATGATTTTATTTCGAAAACTCTTCTCAAGATCTCACAACTAACAGAACATGCAGCAATCGTAAGAAAAGTTTGCAAGAATATTACAGTAAAGGGGAAGTTGTTCTACAGACTGTATATTAGAATAAATTGCAAAAATTCAAAAAAGCCGCCTTTCCACGTTCCAACATTTTTGGTTTTTCTTTTGCAATAACACAAATAAAATCTCTAAAGTACTTCTCTCTTAACGAGAAATTATTCCTTATTAATGTCACCTGATCACAATTGAATTGATATTCGCAATACCTGATCAAAAATTTTGACAGAATAAAAAAGGTTTAACAGTTGAAATCTCATGATGATTTATTTGAATACTTCATCTACAGCAAAAATTATTTTTCTACTCAATTTATTTCCATACGGCAATTCAAAATCGCATTATTCATCATCTGCCTCGACGATCCACGTTATAAAATAGTTCTTCACGTGGAAAATGTTGCCTGGGCCGGCTCCTTCCTCTAACTACGCCACTGTTCCAGGAGTCTTAAATTTTTTCAGCCAGTTTGATATATCATATATTTTGCATCTTTGATTACAGATATCTTACCTTCTTAAGAGAATGTTTTGTTTATTTTTGCCTGCGAACAATTTTTATTCCGTGCTTGAACAAACATGTTCTTTCTCTTGGGCGCCTGTGCTTTGTCCTATCCCAGTGTAATGATGGAATAGTTCTCGAACAATTAATATAGAATCATCGTTGAGGCAATAAAAATTCAAATTTAAACGATAGCATAAGTGCTTGTAATTTTCAGCAGTTAGTAGCTATGAAGGTAGACAGGCACTTCAGGATAAGTAAAAAGTTTTGGTAGGAGTTAATTGCTGGGCTGGCGATAAAGAGGAAAGATTTATTCGTGAACTTCTACATACGTAGGAATTTTAGAGCTGAAGCAAACTGCATGTACTCGAAATACCGAATCGGTAATCACAAATTCATTTCGTTGCTTGCATTTTTCGATGACAGTTTGATGCAACTTTTATTCAAATTTACAAAATGAATAAGACGCAGCATGCGTGAACTCAGAA